GCACGCTCTTCAAGGCAGAACCGGAGCGTTCTTGCTCCAGTGTCAGAACGGCATGGTCCTGTGTGCTGGGTCTTGAGCATGGCAACCCTTCATGCCAGCCCTTAGGACATCCAAGTCAGGGGACATGCAGGGGAGGTGCTAACTGCACCTTCATAAATTCCCCTACTTCAATACAACTCCTGAATTTTGGCTGTCTAGAGTGCCATCCAGAGTAAAGCCTACCCTCCTAACCTCTTACAGTTAGCTGAGCCCATATAAGTTCTGCAGGTAAATCATGGTGGTATATGAAACCTTGAGGAAATATCCTTAAAGGGAAGGACATTTTTTCTCTTTTCCTTTTCCTGGCCAGAATGTGAATGTGATGACTAGAGCCAAAGCAGCCATTTTGGACTATGAGGTGGATGTTATATATTGAGGCCAGTGCACCACCAACCCAGTTGCTGGCTTGGGTGCCCAGAATTGTGAGCCACTGTACTACATCTGGACTGCTGGTATTCACATGTCAGATAAATAAACTACTTTGTTCCAGCCACTTTTACTTTTTGGATACAGAATCTGAAACTTGGAAACAGGATACTGTAAATAACATCTCAAATGTGGCAATGGCTTAGTGGAATTGGAAGGCCATCTTTTTTACATAATGGCTACAGGTTAGATGAAATTGTCACGTGTGTTATCTTAAAAGATGGATCACACACTGAGACTGTAGCAATAGAAAAAGTAGGGGGAAAGTTCCAAAGTGTGACTGTTGCTCTTTGTTTTCACAAGGTCCTATAAAGTTGAGTTGGAAGCTGCGTGCAGGGGTGCACACCTGTAATCCCCAGCAACTTGGGAGCCTGAGACAGGAGGATCGCAAGTTTGAGGCCAGCCTCTGAAACTTGGCAAGACCCTCAATAAATAAAAATAAAATAAAATAAAAATAAAAAGGACTGGGGATGCAGCTTGATGGTAAAGCACCCTTGGTGAGGTGGGCGGCTAAAAGCCAGCCAGATTACCAGCAGAGATGGGAGGGAATCCTGCTTTGCCCAGGAGACTGAGTTTGTAGCCAGCACTGCAAAGTTGATTAAAGTCTTCAAGTGTTGAAAACACCAACTGCTCTCGTCTTCCAAACTACAGCTATTAGGAACAGTGCCCTTAGCCAGGCTTGATGGCACAGGTCTATAATCCCAGTGACTTGGGAGGTTGAGGCAGGAGGATCTCAAGTTCAAGGTCAGCCTCAGCTACAGCAACTGAGCGAGACTCTGTTTCAAACAGAAAGGGCTGGAGATGCAGCTCAGTGTTAGAGCACTTGTCTAGCGTGTGCGAGGCCCTGGGTTTCACCCCCAATACCAGGGGTGGTGGCGGGGTGGGGAGGGAAGGGGGCTTTGACTTGGGAACCAGCCAGGCTGGGCAGCAGCAGGCTTCTCGGCCAGGATGTGTGAAGCAGGCAGCTGCAACGGTCAGATGGCAGGTACCGCCCGCCCCCCTAAGCTGGCAGTACTTCAGGTGTCCTCGCTTCCAGTGCTGGGGGGGGGTCTGCTAACCACACTTCTGTTCTCCCCTGAGGAACGTGTCCTCAGTGGCTGTCCGTTACTGCTGATGGGCTACGTGGGGGGAAGATAAGAGGTCAGCTCTACTCGGGGCAGGAGGACACACAGGGCCCAGCCACAGCTGTTCACTCTCTGTCCTTCAGTTCCTAAGAAACTCAAACCTTGAATTTTAGTTAGGCCCGTGGCTTCCTGGAGTGAGAACCATTCCCCCGCAGGCGGGGCCCGGTGAGTAAGTTCTGATCAATGGGATGTACAGCAGGTGACGGCGGCCGGGTGGCCACCTTGGGCCTCGAGCAGCACTCTGGAAGGAACCTGGGACCGTGCTGATCATGGGGCCACCCTGGCAGCCCTGTGCAACGTAAGGTACCCTGGGACTTGGTGTAAGCTACTGTTGTCACGAGAGAGGAACCTAATTCCGATCTAGAATTTGTCACCCAAGGTGAGGGCAGAGACAGGCACTGTGTGTGGGAGGTCATTTTCCTAACCAGGGAGGACGGGACAGGCTGAGAGCACCCTCTGCCCAAAGAGTGACAATAGGGGGCAACAAACAAACAAGTTCTGCAGGTCAATCATGGAAGCATTTGCAGAAATCAGACAAAGAATAAAGATGTCGACAGACAGTCACATTGCTGCATAGCTTGAACGCTTTTATATTGATCAAACAGCTTTCAGTAGAGTCGTGGCTGACAGTACAGGTCAGTATGAAAAACATCCCCAACTTACAGAAAAAAAAATATTGCTGATCAATTAAGATGCTTTTCAAAACAACATGGCTTAACATGATCCTTTGGTTGCTCTGAACAGAACGGGAGCCACCAAGATGGCAGGAGAGCCGGGCATCTGGCTCCCGGGTTTGGTTCCCCAGGCTGAGGCCACAGATGCTTTGCCAGTGAAGCTGAGGCTGCTCTCGGCCTAGGATGACAGGCGAGAACCAGAGGGCAGCGACCCCCGTCTCTACATCCGACAGTGCCAGGGTCTGAGGGACAACCTCGTGGGGACAAGTCACGGAATTGGGACACATGTGTCTCTGGGAGCTACACATTTTGGTTAAAGAACAATTTCACTCCTCTGGAAGATCAGACTCTCAGGACGGCAAATCTTGAGCCCACCTAGTCCAGCCCACTGTCCCCTTCTAACTCAAAGGAAACCGAGGGCCACTGTGCTCTGCCCGCGTCCAGGTCTGGACGGAGCCCGCGTCTCTGGATCCTCCCCGATGGCTGCTGCCTCTTCGCGATGAAGAGAACTGTGGCTTTCCCCAGATGATCATTTCTGAGGAAGACAAAAAAGCCCAACCAGCAACACAGGAGCAATAGCTTCGGCGCTGACCTAGAATCGCATTTCAGTACGAATCGCCACGGCAGGAAGCTAGGGGCTGGCGCAAGTTGGTATGGAGCCATCCTGACGTCCCACCTGCAACCAAAGTGATGCAGGTCTTTTCCTCTGGGGAGTCAAACCACCAAGTGCAGGTTCTAGAGTGACGCCCATGAAGTCAGTAAATCAGGCACATCAGTGGGTCTAATTAGGCCTTCCGGAAAGCCCCAGAACATAGGAAATAAATGTCTTCTCCATTCTCATCTAGCCAAATTTCCCAGACCAAATATTCACCGATTCCCATGCTGCTCTTAGGAGGAAAATAAGGCCTTGTAAGAATAACTGCTGACGGGTGGAAGGGGGGAGGCTGGGAGCTCGAGCTGTGGATCTTACTTTGCTGTCTCTGCAGGCTTCACTTGCATGTGCTGCTTCTTTAGATCATTTTCTTGTCTTCAGATCATCTTCTTCAAAGGAGTTCATGAATTTTGTTCCTGGCAACGGGCTGGTCTGAGCTGCGCGCCTGCACGGTGGCCGAGAAAGGCTGGCTGCAACCTCCGGCTAGATTTCTAGAAATGTAGGGACCCAGGGTGGCAGCATTTCTGCACTCATATTCAATGCTTGGTTTAAAAAAACAATGGAACACAAATCTCGGAAGGTATTTAGGCTTCTCCAGGATGTTTGCGCACAGGGCGACGTTCCGTTTTATCCGGCGGCAACGGTGTGCTAAATATCCTGATGGCATTTAAATGGACCCTGCATGCCCTCCTTCTTTTTCTGTGTTTTGCTCAGAGAATTTTTCTGTGTCCAGATTGAATAGGTTTGTTCCTTTGTAGTCTTGCTTTGTCCTTTTGGAAGAACTTTTTTTTTCCCCCTCCTTATAGAAAGCCACTGGGTTCCACTTGCTGGATGTGTTTTGGGCTCATCACAGAGAAGGACACTTTCCATCATGGTGTCCGTTGACATTCCAACCAATGAAAAGTCACACTGATGGCAGGAGCTCATTCAAGGCTCACATTCAATCTGGAGTCGTGGGTACTGTCTCTCTCATTTCACAGATGAGAAAAACAGGGGAGCTAGAAGCACAGCTCCTAAGTGCCTAGACTGAGAGCGGGTAAGAGAGGGCTGAGTGGCAAAAGGAGCCAGGCTCCCGCCCTCAGCTCCACAGCACAGGGTTAGGGTGCTGGCGCCACCTCCTCCCACCCATGCCAGATAGCAGTAAAATATGCATGGGGAAGAGACAGGAAGGATGCAAGATGAAAGAATCTTTAGAAACCTGGTCCCCTATGGATAGGTCCCTATCCATCATGCAACCAGGTGAGCAATTCCATTGGTCCAGGGTTTCCTGATATCAAAACGGCCTCATCTCTGTGGGCTACAATAGGAAAGCATCCTTTTTCTATAAACACCGTTAAGAAACTGGCTTAGCTTCCTCTTTTGGATACACAACAACTGCTATTTAAAAATACCACATTAAAATGTTTATGTAATTTATTTTCCTTAAATAGTAACTTGCTACAGTCCTGTCCACAAATTAAAAAAAAAAAAAATTGAACACAGTATTCACAGAGGCAGAATTCTTTAGGACAATCAAAATCAGGGGGTACTTAGAATAAATTAACATCAAATTGGGTTTATATTCAGATAGTCTGATCCTCTCCTCTGAAATGAAACGGAGACCGCTGCAACTGAGGGTGAATGCACACGTTTGTTCTTCGGTACAGAGACTCATTCTTTATATAAACTCCACGGTAATTTGAATCGAGTCAGGAATCCTGAGCAACCTCCACGGGGCGCACGTGCAGGCACACATGCCAACAGGGGCTCCTGGCAAGCAGGGTTTCCCGCAGTCACCTATGAGCAGGTCTTTTCTGAGAAGGCCCAAAGAATATTTCGATGCTATGATCCTGTCCCCCTCGGGGGAACATGTCTCTTCAAGTGTAAGAGCTTGGAGTAGCAGCAGTCCATGTACGAGATTCAGTAGTCAGGGGTCCCGGTCCTGGTGTCCGTGAATCCAGGATGAGGCAAGCAGAGCTGACACACACCTGTCTCTAACGCTAAGAGTCGGGATCACGCCGAGCGAGCGTGGAGTTCTCAGTCTCGGTTGGAAATTCGCCTGCACGTACATTACTAATCTGGTTCAGGCACTGGATATGAACCTGAAGGGGGACGATGGAGGGGCGGGGGGCGGGGGTGCTTTGCAGATCGCAGATCGCAAGGGGCATGGAGCTGAGACAAAGGCAGGGCGCTGCTTGTCCTTCAGCCTGAATGGCCACCGCCCGGTGTGTGGGACGTTCACCAGGGCTTCCTTGGCACCGGGGTGGGACTGTGCATTGCTCCAGCCCTGCCTGGACGCACAGGAAGCTCAGCCCTCGGAGTCCTACCCAGATCAACACACAGAACACCACGCAGCCTTGAAGAACCATGCTGTCCAGCTTCTGGGGAGGTCAGGAGCACGGCTGCCGGCCCCTTTTGTATGGACAAGGGTGGCCAACAGTGGGGTGGTGATGTCTGGGGAGGAAGGTCCAAACTGGGATCCCTTTTTATTTCTCTCTGGGCCTAAAGGAAGCCACAGTTGCATGCATATCTACACCAGTTCCTGTGTACAGGATCCCTTTCCTAGAAAATTTAAAGTGCCTGGGTTCAAATGTGCTCATCCCTTCCCCACAGCTGGCGGTTCCTCTCCCCGCCTCTGGGGGAAGGTGTGTCCTGCTCTCCTAGGGAAGATGCCCTCGGGAACGAGGGAGGAACGCTTCACAGTCGTCCTAACTGGGATCCAGCATCTGGACTAAGCCTTCTTCATACACGCGAAGAATCGCTTCACACACGAACTTGTACTGGCTCTGGAAAAGGAGAGAAGGGACGCTGTCAGGTCAGGAGCACCAGGAACCCCGTGTCACGCGGTGCAGGCTGACTCTCTGTGCTGTTCTTCACAGCTCCCTCGGCACCAACTCGGCAAAAGAGACCCACCAGGGAGGTGTGCCACCTGATGAGGACAGCTGCCCCCAGAGGGGGAGGGGCAGAAGGTCCTCTGTGTGACAGAGGAGGCAGTGGTAGTCTGGGAAAGAACTAAGGTCCCTGCAGGGTGGCCACTCTGCAGAAGTACAAACCCTCGATGAGGAGGGCCGTTCTGAGAAGTGGAGTCGGGGTCCCAGAGTCCTGTCCTAGAATCCCTGGGTGTGTGGAGGAGGGAGGTGCTCAGGTGAGCCAGGATCTGGTTGTGGGGCTCCCCGTGTGGGGCAAAGAGTCTGGATTTGTCTTGAAAAGGAAAGCTACTGAGGATGTTCTGCAGGATATGGTTATTACACAGGTGCCCCTCGGTGTTCATGGGAGATGGGCTTCAGGAACCCCTGGCGTGTTTGCATGAAATCTGCACATATCTTCCCATGTACTTTGAATCATCTCTAGATTCTTATAATGCTTGATGTAAAGCTACGTGAATAGCTGCCATACTGGACTATTGAGGAGATAAGGACAAGGAAAAAAGTCTGTGCGTGTGTCTGGCTGCAGGAGCAACTTTTCCTCCTATTTCTGATCTGCCATCAACTGAGTCCTCGGATGCAGAGCCCATGGAAACCAAGGGCCGACTGCGCTAGCAAAGACCTCGGGCGCATTTTAAAGAAGCAGAGAAGGAAAAAACACCAGAGCACTGAGATGGAGCATCTCCAAGAAGGAAAGTCCCAAGAGGAAGGACTCTTTCTTCTCGACAGGCAATGAGGTCTTTTCCACCCTTAAATACATGTCCACTTCTTTTCCCTTAGTCACATTTCCTGGGTACAAACTAATAAACCACAAGGGCTCACAATCTGGGAGGGGACTCTCCTAGCCGTGCAAGCTCCTGCCTTTGCCGACTCCTCCTTCTCACTGCCTGGGGCTGTGCCTGAGGGGCCCTCCTCTAGGACTTTCCAAAGTCTGCTTTAGACACTGTTGATGCCAAGGCACTGGAGAAACCAGCCAGAGGCTGTGGGTATGGAGGGCGGTACACCTGGGAGGACAGATGGCTGTGGGCTTTGGGACTGTGAACACCCCTGTCCCCAAGCTGTGGGTAAGGACTCAGTTCCCTTGACCCTCCATCTCATGACCCATAAGACCCTTCACCCAGGCCTGGCTCAGAACAGCTGCTCAGGAAGTGCCAGCCACCATTAGGCTTTTTATTGCTGGTCTGTACTCACGGATGTCTGCACCATCATGGCGCGCTGCTCTCTCATTTTCCGGACAATATCCAGGGGGTAAACAGGCAAGTTTCTCTCAATTAAGCACATGGCTGTTTCCATAGTGACCAACACGCCAGTCCGACCTATTCCAGCACTGGGGAGGGAGAGGAGCAGAGACTCAAGATTTGCCCGAGGGCCATTTTTGCACAGCCCAGCTACACCCTGATGCAGTGCCTGCGTTTACTCAGAAGGAGCCTGTTAGCTTGGCCACTAGGAACGCAAAGAAAGACACACTTAGGCGGGCTTCACGGCAGGGGCAAAGGCCATCTGAGGCTGGGCTCAGCTACTGGGGAGAAGCCCACTGCTGAGTGCAAAGTCCAATCCCTCTGCTATTTCCATCTGCTATGAAGGGCGAAGGGAGTCACACTCAGGACAGACAGAGACGAGGGTAGGACTCTCCTCTTGGGCTCTGGGCTACACGTACATGCTTATGATCTTTTTTCCTGAAAATTCCAAATACTTTGAAATGGTGAAGTAAGAGAGCTTGGTGAGAACGCACAACGTGGTGGGCTTAGGGCGGTTTGGTGCCTGCCAATCTTCTCCAGGCCTTTCCCCAGGGGTATAATAAGGCAAAACAGTGGCAGTACCTGCAGTGAACCAAGATGGGCTCCCCGTCCACCCGCAGGGACCTCACGTAGGTCACAAACTCCAGAAAGTCCGAGGAGTCATCGGGCACACCGTGGTCTGGCCATGCGACATACTGGAGGTGTGTCACTGTGTGCTCTTCCCCGGTCTGTGGAACATGCGGTGGCCTCGGTGAATCAGTCCTGGTGGTGGGCCCCGTCCCCAACACCGTCCAGGGGGCCTCGGGCCCCGTGTTCCTACTCCTACTGTGCACAGCTCTGCTGTGGCCCCTGCCACATCCCACATCTGCCCACTCTCCCAAGACACCCATCCTCTGCTCAGCTGAGCCCCCTCCTGGAGGGTGGCCTTCCAACTCTTTAGCCTACAGTGATTTCTTCCATTAGCTCCAACTGCGCTTGCAATAGGCCCACACAGCTGGAGACACACACACACACACACACACTTTATAGAGCTGGGGATCAAACCCAGGGCTCTGAGCATGCTAAACCCACTACTCTACCACTGAATTCCACCCTCAGCCCCTTTATATGTATTTCTTTCACGGTGGCACAATGCATATGAAGTTTAACATTTAACCATTTTTAAATGTAAGGTCCAGTGGCAACAAGTATACTTATTCACAATGTTGTGATACCATCACCACTATCTCCAGAACTTTCTTCATCACTCAAACATAAACTCGTATACCCATTACACTATAACTCCCGATTGTTCTCTTTCCTCAGACTCCTGGCAACTATCATTTCCTTTCTATAAATCTGACTGTTCTAGGTACGTCACATAAACAGAATTTTCAGTTTCTGTCCTTCTGTGACTGGTTTATTTCACTTAACATAACATCCTTAAGGTTCACCGACGTGTAGCATGTGTTGAAATCCCCCTCTTTTTAAAGGCTGA